GAGTCTTATCAACTAAAATCATACTAATAACTAATTTTTTCAAAATTAATATTGTTCTGTGGCCTAGTCCACGTCTTAATACCGCGAAAGTTACGCTAGCGCTCTGCATTATAGATATGCCTTTACGGAAACTGCGGAGAATTGCCAAATATTAATGATTTAATACGAATGATTTTCGTTACATCCGATATACTGGTCCTTTACCGTACTAGGTCCTCTGATCTGCATCATAGGTTGAGATGGGTATGCAGTAAAAAGTGTGCCTTCGTTTCCATGTTATCCTTTAAATACATACATTTTTGAAGAAACGTGTAGTTATCTTGAGTCAACCTGTAATATGGCCACTTCAAGTATCCGAGACAGAATGAAATCTTTAACTACTAGCTTTCACGTAAAGACTGTTATAAACTACTTGTAACTAACAATAAACAGTTGATTAATTACAAGGAAGTGTCAATCATCATTCTGATCAAAATAAAAACGTTTATTTATTTACCTAAAAAATTTAGAAAAGCTCTTTATAATTCCTATAAATCGTTGTATGTTCTTCCATTTTGCCAAATGCCGTAAAAGTCACTAAAAAGCACTATTTAATAACAAAACTGGGTTTTATCAAAGAAAGTTGCAAATTGATGCTATTAGTGGCCCCGATACACATAAGAAATATACCTTGATTTCCGTAACTTACATTTAATCGAGGTTTTAATTCTCAACCAATAGGATTAACTGAAACAAAATATTGAGAGAGCAATCATCTTCGCCATGAATATTCAACACGATCGCCTGTACATTGAAAATTGCTTCGTACCTTTAAGTTACGGCTCAAGGATAAAGGTTCAACCGACTCAAGACTCTTGATCGTCTTAAAGATGTTTAGTTCCAAGAAAAACCACTAAATGGTTTTAGGTCAGATCCAGTAAAATATAAGTCTTGCTCTTCTTCGTGACCTATCGACATATTTATGATTAATTACTCTCTTAAATCCGTGGTCATAATACATTATAACAATAATAACACTTACTTCTATCTCGTATATCATACTCTAACCAGATTGCTTCTACTTTATCCATTCTTAGGTCAGAAAGTTGGTAATTTACAGACACCATAACTTATGCCTTATTCAGAATTTCACTAAGTAGCTTTTATTAGTATCCATCTTTAAGCTAATGGACAACCCAGAATCATCTGATTTACTTAAATGGACATTTATTTTAATATTAGAACAAAAAGACTGATGGTGTCGGACCATGGACCACGGGGAAACATCACCCTTTTCGAAAATTACTTGCTGGTACCACGTGATAAGGATTCTTGCGCTTCTTAAATAGGGGGCTGGGGGGGGGGGGGGGGATGCATGCTATTCGTATTTTGATGATGATTAATCTGCTGAATTCTCCATCTGTATGATTGCGAAAAATATCGGTGAATTGAATGTAAATATGTATCGTCTGGTTTGGAATCCTTTCACCTTCCGAAATGCTCGGAATCCCTCTATATCCAAAAAAACGCTTCCAGATTCTTGAATTTAATTTGGCACTGACAATTTATTAATAATACGTGACAACAGAAGAGTGTTCCATTTCAATGCTGACCTGATTTATCGGGAAAAAAAGCACTGTTGTTCATCAACAAACCTATCGGTAAAATTCCGAAAAGCCTATGACCAACCATCTACACAATGTCATCATTATCATATTACGAAACAACATTCGTAATACCGTAACCATTGTGAAAACGATTGCCGACTAGAATGACCTTGTTCTTAACAGTGATTAGAGAGCATGGTTGAGGTCGATTGATTTTAGGTTGACCTCGCTGTAAACATTGTTGTGATGCGAAAACATGTCATTCTTGTGAGTGAGTGTTGTTCATTTCAGTACACCTGATACCACTACGTGAGAGGGTTTATCTTATATCATTCTTTCCACATCACTGTAAATTGAGATATAGATAATTGAGATAGGATATTATCCTCGCTTCAACTAAAGAAGCTGACACTTTTCAATCAACAATCAATTTTATCCCAAATGTAAATGTTTGGGGGAAAGATCGGAGCTAAGAGGTTTGGTCAAGTATTAGCTGGTAGAAAGTTTTCCAGTCCGTATTTGTAATATGGTTGGTTTTTCTCCCGAGACACATTACATGGCCACGGAAGTGTATAATTCCAGTTTATTTAATTAATATTCTGTTGTCGATTCTCAGATTATTTGGTTTGTATTTTATAGACACCATTACTAAAGATTGTTTTGTTATGATTTACTATAATGATCAACTAAGGTGGTCAGTAAAGACTTTGGTTCAAGTCCAAATTACTTTCTACCAAGGGTCAATAATGTCATTAGGTAGTTACACTGTGGCTTTATTTACTTTCTAATTGATAATAATAGAAACGCCTAGACCGAATTGATCTGACTTCAAGTACCTATAATGATTTACGCTTCCGTTCAAAATTCTCAAGGTTATCTCCTGTAGCTTTTAAATCGAACACAACTAATCTCTAATCAAGGATTCTGTGTTCCCTGAAGATTTCAGGTTCTCAACCTTTAGCACTCGTTGTACCCCTTTCTACCTAAGACGCCCCTAATATTATTCAACCAAATCGACAAAGCTATCTAATCTAATCCCAAATAAAATTGTCCAAGAGTCTTCTCTGGTACATTCTGTAATGTTTGATGTTATTTCTCTCATGGCAACTACCAAAATAACGCAGACGAAAAATGGTTTTTGAAATAGTGAGATCATAATTTGAACGGTGCATGACTGCTATCAGAAGATATGCATCTACCTAATACACATAAAAGACTGAATATTAGATGTAAGACAACTAATATATGTAAGTATATCATCAACAAGATGCGTTACTATGCAGCGCATTAATACAGTTATGTGTATTAATACCCCAAATACCAGATGCATAAGTAAATACAGACCTGACAAGCGAGTCATATAATTTTGTGTAAACATCGTAGCTAAATCCACCAAACTGTATCGATTTAGTTTTAATCACAGCCAAAGCCCTATTAGCCAATTTTGATAACTCTTTAGCGCTGTATGAATAGTCACAGAATTCGTTCACCCACAGGCCTAGGTATTTATATGCATCTGCGTATTTAACATTTAATTCACCACTATGGAACTTAAAGTTACTTCTAACTATACCAGAGTTTCTAAAATGTACAATTTTTGTTTTAGACTCATTCACGACTAACCTCCATTTATTACACCAATTATTTAGGGTATTCAATAGAATTTGTAGTTTTTGTTCATCTGGGGCCAGAAGAACAATTATACAGTGAATGAAAAACAAGATATAACACTATACATTAGATACAACAACAGAGCAAGTATCAAACGGCTTCAGTGAAAATTACGCCAGTGCTCTGCAACATATCCCTATAATGAATAACAAACATTGCTTACCGGAACTATGTCAATATTGTCACGTTATCTACCTAGAGTCACTCATAAAAACGCTAAGTAGAGGTATGATATTCAAACATATATAGCTCATATAAAACCTTTAAATTATTTATATTCATAGTCATTGTACCGTTACTGCTCACTAAGAACAAGCTTATACCTCATCAGTGTACTGTTTTCATTAACTTTTACTACATAACACAAAACATAATATTAACAAACTGAATATAATATAAAAGAAAACCCAAAAACCAATCACAACATAAAAGAGTGTAAAATTAATAAAGTGCGCTTTATACTCAAAATTATACTTTAAATGTCAAATTTTCAATTTTTCAATTTTTTGGGCGAAAATTTGCCCCCCCCCCCTCCTTTTTAGGAAGATGGTGTGCACCCTCAATTGTACCTCAACTTTATCTTAAAAAATATAATTTTTTATACGTTTTTGCTCCAAAATATGTATCAAAAAGTCTGAAATCAATTCAATTTTTTGAAAATGTTTTTGGGAGAACGTTGAATGAGGGGCTTGCGACTATGAAACCTCCGCAAAGTTGCCGCATTCTGAAATCAGCCTGGCCAGTTGATCCCCATTGAGTCTGTCTGCCCCCTATTTGTACCCCCAGTTTCTGGAGGTTGGAGCGAAAATTATGCCTGAAAATATTTCTAAAATATGTCATTTACAACTATGATCAAACTGAATTTGTTTTAAAAGGGTTATCTAAACACATAGTGTACTAATTGTTAAGTAAGCAGCTTAAACTAGTTTGGTGTTGGTCCTAATTAAGACTCGATATATTTTTGGAATCTTAAGAATGCGTAGGATATATATTTTTCTGCAATTAGACAGTTTCAAAAAGCATAAATTTACTTAATGTTTTTAAATGTGTCTGGCTTTAAAATATAAACGACTGCATTATGTTAGTTAAAACTTTCAGATACATTAAGGTACAGGATTCTCTAGATTATGGTGTAAAGTTTTCGTAAAAGTTAACGTAGGCTAAACCATTTAGATAGTTTTGGTGTTGAAAGATTAACGGCAGGGACAACGGACACATTTTTTTCAATTTTTGTGTATAAAGTGTACTTAAAAGTATTTTGCTGTTAATTTTAAAACTCCGAAACTAGTTAAAAGATTTACATATACATTTTTACATATCTTTGTATTTCGGTTGGTGATGCAAAAATAGACGCCGTTGTATAAAAAATATGACTTATTTTGCATACTGTGCCGTTAATGTCATAGGACTGGAAGGTGTTCTGTTTAATTTAACCTCTCCATGAGAGTTAGATATAAAATTAAAATACTTCATTTACTTTTGAGCAATAATATTAAACGTCCCAAAATTTATAACTATATTCTTTGTTAAATAATAATCCATTGTTTCAATTATTATTTAACCAATCACAAACTCTTAATTTTAAACAAAAATCGATTATGACGTCATAATGGAATATGCATAATTTGCCACAGAGCGTTGTGTTTTCTTGATACGGACGCTTGCGAATTTTTTCTGAGAATTTATTGAATATTTTTTCACAGACTAAAATTGCACTTCCATTTTTCTGCTAAGAACTTTGAAATGGCAGCATTGTAAGTAATCTTTGATTCATTTCTTTAGTTGGTTTACAAATTTGAAAGGGGATCTTCAGTTGAAAATATTTTGTTTGTAGCCCAATTTGATGGATTCTGTCTCATTTGTCTTTCCACTTCAACACCAGAGTAACAAAGTTTCAGTAATATTCTAGATACAATTTTAAAACGTTGTGGACCGAATTCAATGTACTTTAGGCCTATACTTTAGCTTAGACTTCAATATTTTATTCAGATTCAAGAAAGCTTTGGTTGATTGCCTTGGTCCTAAAAAGGTGTCTGTGGTAACCAATAAAGGTAATTTCTTCGTTGTATTTATATTTCTCGACACAAAATATCTTAATGGGCTAAAAACACTCTTCAAATCTTTATTTTGATGTATAATTTTAGAAAAAATTGTGAAAATTCTACTTTACAAATACATAAAATCAGGATTTTCTCTGTTATTTATTGATATATTTTTATATAATTTTCATGATATTAGTGCAGTATTCTAGAGTACATGTTGGACAAAAAAATCCCTTAAATTTAAACAGAAAGCTATATTTAGAGGGAAAACGTGAACATTTTACTGTCCATAGCTGATTTGACGCCATGGCAACAAAGAGCTTAGAGATAAGGTTTTGGCGTCACGTTATTATTGTTATGACGTTATAATGTTATAAAAAAAAACCTCTTTAGTTTACATATTGTATCAGAATTAGATCTATTCCATTAACCTTCATCTCGCATTAAGAATCTCATTTTAAATTTTGCTTATTTCAGAGTCCAGTGTATATGACTGCTATACTCTTTATTGGTTGCCGCTGGATGAAAGGATGTGGTCAGGTGAACTTGAATTTCGATTCATAGAAAACTGGGCCGAGGATGTGGAAATCAATTTCACTAAAGGTAAGTAATATTATTTTTTTCAAATTGGGTTTGAATATTTGAAGTTATTTTCGTTTTAAACTGAAGTTTTAAACCCTTTTTAGGATTTTTAAAAACAAGTTAATAAGACAAGACGAAGTCAGCTAGATCTACTAGAATAAACATTTAACCTATAATCAAGACGGATTTCAATGATAAATCGTCTCCTGTATTTTTCAACATGTTATTATTTCAGATTTCGGGGAAGGAGGGATTGATATTAACAACAACAAGATTAGTAAAAAATCTACCACTAGAACTTCTAGTAAGTTGACATACGCTTTTCCTTCAGATGCCAATGTCACCTCGTTTCCATGTGCAAATGCGACATTAATAATAAATAATAAAGTCTATTTTTACATGGGTCAGAATTAGGCCCAATACCCAAGAACATGGTCATGTCTAACATTCAGCACATGAACTGAAAACAAAATATAATTGAATAATTCAATAACATAGTCTGAAATTAGATCAGATGTGTTGTGTCGTTTGTCGTATTTTGTTAAATATCTAGAATTACAAAACAACATATCAAGAAGAATATTTCCTTCTGAAGACCAATAATCACTCATTGACTTTCTCTGTTTCAGCAGTCAAGAAGTCTAGTAGTAGAAAAGAAAACTGGGAAAATGAATTATATCCAAAGGGTGTTATCAATTGCTATGGGTCCTGGGATGGGGAATTGTTTTCCGAGGAATTTATTAATTCTTTTGGGGAATCTTGGGAGGGAGATTTTTTCACTGATTTGTTTATGAAGTCTTTTGAGTTGCTATGAATATTTATTTATTTTATTTTATTCTATTTTTCTTTATTTTCTTTTTCTTTTTTTTATTTACGTTTTTTATTTATCTATTTTTTTTATTTATTTATATTTTTATCTACTTTTTTATATATTCATTTATTTATTTATTTTTTATTTATTTACTTTTTTTATTTTTTTATTTTTTTTTTATCTACTTATTTTTTTTATATTCATTTATTTATCTATTTTTTATTTATTTATTTTTTAAACTTATTTATTGACGATTACTGCTATATTTTGAAAATTTGAAAACTTTAAATACTTTTGGAGATAACTGTTATTATTTAGGCCTAAAAATAAATAGTAAATACAAGCTTCTAATATTACTCACTTCTAACCACAGAATGATTATATCTACAAAATTTTAAATTTTGGCACAGATAAAACACACGTTTCACTTTCATTTTGAAAACTATATGGCAACGTTCAGATTTTAAAGCGAATAATTAGAGGATAGAATCTTTGATATTAGAATAAACAATGTAAATTTGAGTAAAATATTGTAAAAGTTTTTGGTGCAGAAAACAAAAAAATATTTAGATTGTCGTCATTGGAGATTTGATATAAATATATTTAGATTGTCGTCATTGTAGATATAGATATAAATATATTTAGATTGTCGTCATTGTAGATATGATATAAATATATTTAGATTGTCGTCACTGTAGATATAGATATAAATATATTTAGATTGTCGTCATTGTAGATATAGATGTAAATATATTTAGATAGTTGTCATTGTAGATACGATATAAATATATTTAGATTGTCGTAATTGTAGATATGATGTAAATATATTTAGATTGTCGTCATTGTAGATATAGATATAAATATATTTACATCGTCGTCATTGTAGATATGAATATATTTAGATTGTCGTCACTGTAGATATAGATATAAATATATTTAGATTGTCGTCATTGTAGATATGATATAAATATATTTAGATTGTCGTCATTGTAGATATAATATACATATATTTAGATTGTCGTCAATGTAGATATAGATATAAATATATTTAGATTGTCGTCATTGTAGATATAGATGTAAATATATTTAGATTGTCATCATTGTAGATATAGATATAAATATATTCAGATTGTCATCATTGTAGATATGAATATAAATATGTTTAGATTGTCATCATTGTAGATATGATATAAATATATTTAGATTGTCATCATTGTAGATATAGATATAAATATATTTAGATTGTCGTCATTGTAGATATAGATTAAAATATATTTAGATTGTCATCATTGTAGATATAGATGTAAATGTATTTAGATTGTCGTCATTGTAGATATAGATTAAAATATATTTAGATTGTCATCATTGTAGATATAGATGTAAATGTATTTAGATTGTCGTCATTGTAGATATGATATAAATATGTTTAGATTGTCATCATTGTAGATATAGATATAAATATATTTAGATTGTCGTCATTGTAGATATAGATTAAAATATATTTAGATTGTCATCATTGTAGATATAGATGTAAATGTATTTAGATTGTCGTCATTGTAGATATAGATATAAATATATTTAGATTGTCGTCATTGTAGATATGAATATTATTTAGATTGTCGTCACTGTAGATATATATATAAATATATTTAGATTGTCGTCATTGTAGATATAGATATAAATATATTTAGATTCTCGTCATTGTAGATATGATATAAATATATTTAGATTGTCGTAATTGTAGATATAGATATAAATATATTTACATTGTCGTCATTGTAGATATAGATATAAATATATTTAGATAGTTGTCATTGTAGATATGATATAAATATATTTAGATTGTCGTCATTGTAGATATAGATGTAAATATATTTAGATAGTTGTCATTGTAGATATAGATGTAAATATATTTAGATTGTCGTAATTGTAGATATAGATATAAATATATTTACATTGTCGTCATTGTAGATATAGATATAAATATATTTAGATAGTTGTCATTGTAGATATGATATAAATATATTTAGATTGTCGTCATTGTAGATATAGATGTAAATATATTTAGATAGTTGTCATTGTAGATATAGATGTAAATATATTTAGATGGTTGTCATTGTAGATATAGATGTAAATATATTTAGATAGTTGTCATTGTAGATATAGATGTAAATATATTTAGATAGTCGTCATTGTAGATATAGATATAAATATATTTAGATTGTCGTCATTGTAGATATAGATGTAAATATATTTAGATAGTCGTCATTGTAGATATAGATGTAAATATATTTAGATAGTTGTCATTGTAGATATAGATGTAAATATATTTAGATAGTCGTCATTGTAGATATAGATGTAAATATATTTAGATAGTCGTCATTGTAGATATAGATGTAAATATATTTAGACTATTATCTTTGTAGATATATTTATACCTTTGTATATATTTCTGAATAAATATTAATTAATTTAAAGTCTGTGTTACAGTTTTTAACTACAGAGAAGATAATCTGTGAGGCATCACACTATAACAAAATCATGTACCCAGTTTTTTTTTAAAATTTGTCATAAGATAAGCGGCATCTATGAGGAAAAATATCAACCCATCCATCATTACAAATTGCAATGCCAGACCAAACCCTTTCTGCCATTTGTTTCTTTCCATTTCGAGCCACATGATGTCACCATCACAAAATCTATTTGGGCTAAATGGAAAATGTCATATCATCATTTGCCCAATTATCTAATTGTCGAACTGTTCATAGAGCTATTAGTGCCCTGACAATTTAAATATCAGAAACTGGTCTTTGAAAACAAAGTCAATGAAAACAAAACGTCCGCAAGATATGTGTTCAAATTGATAATAATATGTATCATTGGATAACCAAGAGTCACAATATAGTATTAAATTCCGAAGTAGAAAAAGTCTCTAAAATTTAAAGACTATTATATTACTATCACTTAAATACAGGAAATAAAAGAGTCTCGCCTAAGAAAATATAACGGAATTAACCATTCGTTCATTCTTATTCAGCTTTACAGATACTACAGAGGATTACCGAATGAGCATGTATAAAATATATCGGAAGCATGTAATATTATACCCGGAACCAGAAAAATGTATAAAACCGGATACAGGATACATAAAATCATAATAAATGCGGAACTGAAATTCCTACGTGTATGAATTGTAAATATGTTATAAATTGGGGATATGAAGGAGGGCGAATTATTACTGCTCTCCCCCACTTATGCACGTGACCATTACCTACGCGAGTTATCTCATCTTGTCTTCTTGCACGAACCTTTCATGGCAGCTTGACGCTTGCAATCACCGTAAAAAACCAAGCCAACGCCTTGGTAGTATTTCAAACTGTTTATCCATGCCATCAACTTTGTTGTTTCTTTGTTTATGTGTTATGTGTAATTTTAATTAAGGGGGGTCGGAGCTAACTTTTATTATCTATGATAGAGTTATGTGTAGCTTATGTGTAAATGTAATATTTTAGCTTTATTAAAGTCGTTTTCCCATTCAGTAATTGTTATCTGTTTTGCATCCCATGTTATGTGTTTACTAAACATAATAAAAGAATGCCATTTGAAATTAACAAAAGTTTGATAATGTTTATTGATTCAACACTCGATCAGTAGACGGTTTTGCTCAATTACATCCAAGTCATACATATCTACAGTGACTGGTTTCGAGTTAGTTGACATGTACAAGTATTCAAATAAAAACATGTTTGTCAGGAGAATATACGAATCTGAGACTCTGAGAACAAAAAGTGAATAAATGAATTAATACTTTGTAAATACGAAGAAAGTAGGGTAACATGATTGTTTTGCTTGAGAAATGTAAAACTTGTCAACAGAAATTAGCCTTGTATTTATTTAGGATGCATGTTACACGGATGTACGTGCCTACATGCGCAACGGTCAGATTAGAGGGTCAAAAGATGTCCAGTTAGGTCAAGGGAAGAAGGTCAAGAAAGGCAGTTGGTCAGTGGGTTGATATCTGCAATGTGAATTTATGATTGTTGTTTCTCATTTTGACCCGTTTGACCAATCATACCTTAGTCTCAGAAAAGATTTTTTTTAGCTACGGTAATCAGTAATAGTGTCCAAGGCTCACCGTCGACATTTGAACCTCCAAATTCATGTGTGTCTAGAATTATCCGCGTTTGAAAGTTAAAAACGAAGTGTTGAGACTCTATCATAGAAATGGCATCTATAGAAATAGTTTGTGGTATTTTGGAAGGAATTTTTGTGTATTTCTAATACTTCTGAAGACAATTTACATAATTATATTCAAGACCCAAACCAACCACCTTTAACACAACATTATTTAGAAATTAGAATTCACCACATCAAAACGCTGATAGAAAAGCAGTTCGTCGAAATAAAATTTCATTTAATTTCCAGAAACAAAATAATTAATTAATAAAAACGCTACAGACGGTACACAGAATATAAAGCTTTTGTATAAGAAAACTGAACACCATGTAATTTCTAGGGGAAACACTCACTTTAAACAGAAAACCTAATCAGTTTATGCTTGAATTAAGTGAGCACTTGAGATCTCATAGAGTGATTATATTATTCTTTAGCCCATATGAATACGTTCCTTTTCATTAGAGTGTCTCTTGTACAAATAGGGTTATCTACCGTTGTTCTGAAAGAGGTGATTGGGTACTCACTTACCTCTTATCAACTACTTACAAAAGTATATGTACACTGAATAGAATGATTTATTTTCATGCAATTTGTGATTGGGTCAAGTATCCGCACTTACTTGTGAGTTCAGAAAGAAAATAAACACTGGTCATTTAAAGTGGACATTGATGGTGGTCATTTTACACTCATAGCTAGATGGACAATCATTAAAGTCCGAACGTTCAACAATTCACATGATATCTATTGTTATGATACGTAATTATATTTTGCTTTAAATAGTACATATATATTGTTATTGCTAATTCTGGTGCATAATTCATAAAAGT